AAGATAAACACGAAAAGAGATAGATACTGAATTAAAGAGACCCACATAAAAAAGAGAAAGTGTAAGAAAAAACAAGACGACTTATCAGGAGAGGAAAGAAAAGAAAAGAGAGAGTGAGAGAAAGGTAGAGAGAGAGAGAGAGAACGATGAATATATAGTAAGACCGGCAGATAGAAAGACAGAACTAAATAGAGAGGGAATTAGAGAGAGAGAGAGAGAGAGAGAGAGAGAGAATAGAAAAAGGGCCAATGTGATAGATAGTACAAAAGAACCAGTTAATATTATATAATCTTTACTAATTTTATTACTATTATTATTACATAATGATGAATTTAGTTCATAAATTAAATTAATTAATTAAGGGAATTTGTAATCATAACGTACAGATTAAAGTACGACTCCAAATCCTAATGAGACAGTACCGAGTGAACGAACAATTGATTCTATGTGACAAAATTTCTAACTGAAAAGCAATATTTCCGTAGTTCACATTTCAATATACTGATTCATGAATTTGCTAATTAACTTACTGATTATCAAAATTTTGCTATTTGTTAATTGAGATTATTCTTAATCACTTAAAATGTTAGTTTATTCAGTTTTAACTAATTATATCAGCTGGCTTGATGTTACAAAAGAAAACTTATCTTTTAGGAGTGTGAACGAGCTTAGATAAACATAATTTACCTGAAACGGAAAAGCCACCTGAAGAAAAAATTGATAATGACCGTACAATATAAACTAAAATAATTCCCTTTAAAAAACTATGCAACTTCTATCTCTGTCAGATAGTAAGTAAATCTTCTAACAAAACGTATACGCTTTTGAAGGAAATGGTAAAGCGTGCAGAAATTTTTCAACCAAAATATAAAAAAATATCACAAGATAGAATAAAACAATTTTCAAAAAATAGATATATATGTATGAGTAGGTGGGAGGATTTCAAAGAAAGAGAGAGAGAGAGAGAGAGAGAGAGAGAAAGAGAGAGGGTGAGTGAAAAAGAGGAAGAGCGAGAGGAAGAAAATGAGATAGAGGAAGAGTATAATAAAAAGAGAAAAGAGGAAGAGAGTAAAGGAAAGGTGAGAACATATATATATATATATATATATATATATATATATGTTTCAAAATATTGAAATCGAGGGAGAGGGAGAGAAAAATAAATAGAGCATTGAAAACGTAACAGACATAAAAAGGTAGAAAGAGAGGAAGAGAAAAAGACAGGTGAGAGTTGGAAAATAGAAGGGGTAGCAAAAATTTATTATTTTCAATAGTTTTATATATAACCAATTACATACTAAAACTCTTTTTTAATTTAGCAAATCATAAGAAAAAATTAATTTTGCATTATCTTACTTTAATCGTTTGCTAACACTTATAAATATGGTCATAAATTATAGAAAAATACTGGATCAACATTGTAGAGAACGAAGAACGAACTATTAACTTATTCAATGCTCTGTTTATTTCTTAAAACATTACAGAACAATATGAACATTAAAGGTAGTTTGTATATTTAATTAGTTATCTTAAAAATTTAATTGAACAAAAAAAAACAAATCATGATCGTGGATAGGTATAATGTATAATGTAAATTCTGTAGGGTTATCGTAATTAGCCACCTATGAACAAAATATCAATTTACCATGTCCCTCATATCTTACGATACTAGACCTCTTATCGGGAAATAGGATAATATTAATAGGGAAAATCTTTAAATATAATAAATTTTCATCAAAGCCCTCAGTTAACAGACTTTTTTAGCGGTAAGTTAATTGATTTTGTCCTAACGAAGCAGTTTTAATGATAGGACGGTTCGTTAAATCAATTCTTTGTGTTGAAAGAACATTATTAAGATTGTTTTCCGGTGAAATTCATTTTGTTGTGTCATTAAACGGCTTTTATTTATATTTATGTTTATTTCTGAGCGTGCTTCTATTAATCCCTCAAGAATACAAGAAGAAATCTTTTAATTTTACCGTGTTATCCTAATATTAAATAATTGGAAAAGTGTATTTAGCTATTTTTGGGTTCATTAGTATTCTGATTTCTTCTGATGGATAACCATTTGTATTTGGGTGGTATATTGGTATTTCCAAGTAAAGCTTTAATGAAATAATCTTGTTATTCTGCGTAAAGGGGTGGGGATATTAAAAATAGATGTGATTGAAAATATCACAACACAACAGGCCTATCGCCATGCCACGTGAAGTGAAAAGAGAGTCCGGCCTTAGAGGGAGAAAAGGATCCAATACAAAGAATAAACATTTTAGTCTACATAAAAAGGGAAAATACTATGTCTTTCATGAAACCAGGGAACGTTCCAGTTTATAAAATTGTTTCATCGGCTGGACTCCGTTTTCAGCTCGGGCTTAAAAAGAAGACCTCTGGACCGCTTTCAGCTCACGCAAGACTCATCAAGCTACAACCTCCAATTTTACACTGCAATATGTAAATATTCTATTTACATTTGGATCATTATTATTCTTATTTTAATTGTCTAATAAAACCTTAACACAAGCCAGATTGTGAACTAAAAAAAAATAATGCAGAAAAAACTATGATATTAGGAGATACATTTATAGATAAATAGCTAGATAGATAGATAGATAGAGAGAGAGAGAGAGCGATAGAGAGAGAGAGAGAGAGTGAGAGAGAGAGTGAGAGAGAGAGAGAGAGAGAGAGGGAGAGTGTGTGTGAGACTTGAACTGAACTGAGAGAAAGAATAATAAAAAGTAATAAAATACAAGAAGAGTAAGCAGTAATGTAGAATAATCATTATTTTGCAGATAATCAAAAATATGGTAAATTAAACAAACCGACAGTCGGATAGATACGCAGAGAGAGACAGAGGGAGAGAGAGAGTGTGTGTGAGTGAAAGACAGAAATATAAAGAGGAAGAGTAATAAAATATAATAAAACTCGAGAAGAGGAAGCAGTAATGGAGCGTAATAATTATACTCTTATATTGCAAATAATCAAGAATAATGAAGGGAAATAAAAAAAGTTAAAACGATGGTTAAAACCACTGACCGACAGTCAGACAGATACATAGAAGAGAGAGACAGAGAGAGAGAGAGAGAGAAGGAGAGAGAGAGAGACGAACGGGTGAAAAAGAGAGAGAGAGAGAGAGAGAGAGAGAGAGAGAGAGAGAGAGGAAGTGATAGATAGATAGAGAGGATGGATAGATAGAGAGGGAGAGAGAGAAAGTAAAAATGAAAGAAAGAAACATAGAGAGAAAGAGTAATAAAAAGTAATAAAAGACGAAAAGAGTGAGCAGTAATGGAGAGTAATAATTATTTTGCAAATATTCAAAAATATGGTAAATTAGACAGACTGACAGACGGATAGATACGTTGTGAGAGAGAAGGAGAAAGAGAGAGAGGGAGAGAGAGAGAAAGTAAAAGTGAAAGAAAGAAGCATAGAGAGAAAGAGTAATAAAAAGTAATAAAAGACGAATAGAGTAAGCAGTAATGGAGAGTAATAATTATTTTGCAAATATTGAGAAATATGGTAAATTAGACAGATCGACAGACGGATAGATACGGAGAGAGAGAGAGAGAGAGAGAGAGAGAGAGAGAGAGAGAGTGAAAGAAAGAAACATAAAGAGGAAGAGTAATAAAATATAATAAAAGTCGAGAAGAGGAAGCAGTAATGGAGCGTAATAATTATACTATTATATTGCAAATAATCAAGAATAATGAAGGGAAAAAAAAACAGTTAAAACGATGGTTGAAAAGACTGACCGATAGACAGACAGATACATAGAAAAGGAAGAGAGAGAGAAAGAGAGAGAAAGAGGGACGAACGAGGAAAAGAGAGAGAGGATAGAGAGAGAAAATGAGAATGGATCAACTGCCAGAACAACATAAGGAAAGAGAGGGGGAGGTACGACAAAACTGCAGATCTAGACGGTGAAAGAGGAAAAAGGAGGATAGATGGTTAGACAAGAAAGAGAGAGTGGGAGAAAATAAGAGACTAATACGGTGAGACAAAAGAAGTAGAAATAGAGGAAAAGAGGGCAAGAATGATTATTTTTGGTTAGTAAATAGAATTATTATTTTTGGTGTCTATAAAGGGGTAATTAAAGACAATTATTTTATGTGTGGTGATTAGTGACCGTTAATCGATATTTATTTAGAAATCTTGAGATGCCGTCTGGTGTGATGTAGGTTTCACAAAAACATTTTCTTTATCGTGCCAACGTTTCGATCTTTATTGAGATCATCTTCAGGGCCTGGGATTTACAAACATTGTTTACATATAACAATTACATTTTGGATGTGGAAAAGTGAATTTACACAATGCAAAATATATTTTTTTTATATATTCCATCAAAGTATTTCTACTTACTCAAAGTGTTTGTCTTCTGTGTAATTGTGCCATTCTTGCGTGTCGTGTCAAGAGTGCCAGTGTGACTCTAATTGTAATATGTAAACAATATTTGTAAATCCCAGGCCCTGAAGATGATCTCAATAAAGATCGAAACGTTGGCACGATAAAGAAAATGTTTTTCTGAAACCTACATCACAGCAGACCGCATCTCACGATTTCTAAATAAATAAACATTATTTTACTTTTATTACTTTTGTCTTTTTCTTACCACCATGTATAGATTGTTTTGTCATTTTGATTTTTATAACTTGACAATGCCGTTTTGAGTAATTTATAGATCGGTCTTGTCAGATATGAAGGGGCTGAGGAAGCACGTTTATTCAAGTGTAGTGGCTCCTACTTGATAGACTCTCAACCTTCCTCTTCATACGTTGATCAGTATTGTCAGCTGGAACTGAGATTATTAATCATACGCTGATCAATATCCTTCAGCGGATATCTAAATTCGAACACTCGAAATCCAACGGATTGGCGATTGTGCGATCCTCGGAACGTGACAATGGGATAACCGGATAGCTAACACGTCAAACATCGGACGTGCTGTGTTAAATCCAAACCCTATTGTAACGTATATTTCTTTAAAATATGACATAATGTTTCGTTACCTTTGTATCATTTACGATAAGTGCTAGCTTGTACTTTGGTCCGAGAATGTTTTGTTCGTTAATATGACGGACGGCGAGGTTGGCAGCTTCAAGCTCCCACTTTCCCTCTTTTCTTTCTTCATTGTCCACCGTGAGTTCGAAAAGGCCGAGGATGGTCACGACGATTCCGGATTCATCTCCTTGAGGGCAAAACTCGCACCGATCTCTGAGGTTGAAGTCCCATTCTTGTAGGTACAAAAAGTCCAGGGGGTTCTGTCTTGCATTCAGTTTGTTTTTAATATCAATCTCACATAGTTTGTCTCCGCAAGTGGTGCTTCTCGAAGGAGGCCTGGGAGCGCGGCAGAGCGACGGAGAAGGAAGGAGAACGAGAACGAACAGGAGAAGAAGAATAGGCGATTGGTGTATGACTAATGATGTCATGCCCAAATTGGCCAGTCACGTCCAACGGCATCCTTTTCCAATACCTATAACACAAACAATTATCGGTTGAATTACTGAAGTAAAAACTTCTTGCTTCGGAAAATTTTCAAATTATAATCTAAATAATTCGCTTAATATATCGTTTATGCACATACGTATTCCCTCTTCTTTGTCGACAACTCTACAAACAAAAACGTCAATTCCTAAAATCTGAACTATATATAAAGTAAAGTAGTTTAATAGATATTGTTAGTCTCTTCTCCTTCCACTGTCTCACTCTTTCTTTTTCTGCCTCATTCCTCTCTCTCTCTCTCTCTCTCTCTCTCTCTCTCTCTCTCTCTCTCTCTCTCTCTCGTTTGCCTCATTTTCGCTTTTCTTCGTTTGCCTCATCCTCTCATCCGCTTTCTCTATATCTATCTATCTTTCTGTATCTCTCTCGTAAATTAAGCCCCCCTAAATTAAGTATTGAATAAATGGGAAGAGTGATCCACAAAATCTCTGAATTATATGAAAACCATTAAATCAATAAAATAATAATAATACCATTAAAATAATAAGCATTTAAAAAGGATAACTTCCGGAATATTTCAAACCTAAGTTCACCACATAATTGTTTAAGTGTTCTATGAATAATTAATTTTAGCATATTAGCTTTGAAATAAATTCAACTATAAGATTTAAATACAAATCTCTTCGTTTACATTTTACCTCTTCTTCTCACTCGTCCTTTCCGAATTGTCAAAATATTTCGGCTATTGACAAAAAAAGCGCTATAAGGAAAAAAAGAAATTCTAATTTTACTCTTAATTATTCAGAAATCGTGAGATGCAGAGGTGTGATGTAGGTTTTAGAAAAACATTTTCTTTATCTCAAACTCTAAGAGTCTCAACGTCTCAACACGACACGCAAGAATGTCACAATTACACAGAAGACAAACACTTTGAGCCCTGAAGATGATCTCAATAAAGATCGAAACGTTGGCACGATAAAGAAAATGTTTTTCTGATACCTACATCACACCAGACCGCATCTCACGATTTCTGAATAATTATCGATTAACGGTCACTAATCACCACACATTTTACACTTAGTATTATCTTATGTTTAATTTATTTATTATTTATTTTATTTATATATTAATTTTTGATAAAAATATTCTCATTTTAAGAATTCATGAAAGAAAGGATCGACGCGGATTAACCTCCACTTTACATGTCTTAGAGGGTTGTAAATATATACAGTTATAATGGGAATTTTTGCTCGACTTTGTAAGATATGAAGAAAAAAAGAAGGGTTCGATATTCTCCGAATGTGCCAAGAGTGGAGATTTAAGAAAAATTGGTAAATAGGATAATCCGTGACATCAACTTGTGAGCGATTCATCGTTTTGTAAAAAAAATACATACCTTAAAATATTTATTTTAAAAAAAGTACATTTGTTAAATTTGAATGTTTGTGACAAAAATGCGATTATCCGGGTGAAGATTGTCTTAACAGTATTCAAATCATAAGCCCATTTATTATTTACAACATACACATTAAGCGAACTTTGAGCTTTGAGGTATACCCGGGAATAAATCGGAATGGCAGGATGTTTTGGTTTGGGTCGATGAGGGTAAAAAATTCGTCGACCCATGACTCCGGTCAATTAAGAACTCGTCAGCATATCAAGCATTTGCATACGCACCCCCTTTGGACCCGATCCGTCATTTTGAGTTTAAAAATGATCAAAACGGCATGGAAACCCTTCAAATCTAAAAAGAAAAAAATGTTACCCTTTCGATCTGCTAACGTCATATTATAAATTAGATATGACATTAAAATATAAAATAAAACAAATAAAGTCGTAACGAAACATAAAATGCTTTACTAACTTTATACAACACATATTTCAAAATTGATAACTTTAATAAGAAATACCTTGTTTATAGTTGGTTTTTATTGTCTATCACGAAGATAACAAGATTTCAAACATATTTTACTACATCCAGCTTTTCCAAATCCAATAGCAAACGCACTACGACTTCATGCTGTGCGTTCCCATTTTTTATTACTGTTATCTTCGAGATTGTTGATAGCCACCACGGGTCTAGAACCGACCACGAACGAGATATTCGGAACGAAAGACAATTGCAGAAAGCTGAGATTTATTGAATTGGATAACATCATCATTTATTACGGGCTCAAGATAAATAATTTTTGGTAAAAAAGAAAGGGCAACCTTTTTCAACGTATGTACACCATGACGAGAACTAGTGCTGCTTCCAGCCCGAAATATTTAAAAAGTCTTCCTGTTTTTTGTAACTGTTAAATGATTTTACCTGAATTTAAATTTTTTCATCCTGTTTATTAGAATTTATTCAACTACAAGTTGAAACGTACAGGAAAGTAATAAAAATTTATTAAAATTTTATTTAAAAGTTTTCCCGTCTATAATTTAGTAGGTAAATCGAAAATTCAGGACTTGTGACTTATGATTTGCCAAACTTTCGCTAACGGTAATTTGTAAAAGCAAGAGTAGGTGGTAGACGGCAGGATTTTGTTTATACCGCGTCCTTTATGAGCAATTGCATTCCCCCTTTCTGTAATTTATGGTGTGCCTGCGCTTTTCCTCGGTTTCAGGAGGGCATTACTCCTTCCAAGGTTATAAGTCCCGAAAAACGTGCTTGCTCCGTTGAAATAACCGTGTAATAATTGTACCACTACCCCGACATTCCAGACCAACGGCGTGGCGCAACAATCCAGGTTAAATTAAACAATTCGGTTTCTTATAGTCACCTGTTAGAAACGAAGTGGAAATCTAACTTATATGGAAATTACTATTTGCAATAATAATGTTGCTTCGCCATAATCAGACAAACATTGAGAAAAGGTGTCAGGGCGTCATTTAAAACGTTTCTTAAAGAATTTAATGTCGTATCTTTTAATTTTAGATGTTGATCATGGATATGGTCCAACGACCAAACTTTTATGAGTTTGCCAAACGTCGGCACATATATTTCGCTTTCCTAAGGGCACTACAATTGATTGATTTATTATTAACAATACTACAACTTACACCAACCAAAATAGAAAAATTTACGTACAATTTATGAAAACATAACAAATATAAGAGGTCTGATTTTAATAGACTCCCACCTTTAAAATTTGTTGGTCGGTTTAGGTGGGGAGTGGACAGAGAGACCCTGTTAAAAACTTATCAAATTCACTAGTTTCGTGGTCCTCTTGACCAATTAGTATGATACAATTAATTAAGGTTTTTAGTTGAGATAAAAAGTCAATGGCACGAGCGGGATTCGAACCCACGATCTTCGGCTTGATACGCCGCTGCTCTACCACTTGAGCTATCGTGACCTCGATCCACCCGGACACCAACCTCCCATCTCAAACCACACCTTTGGAATTTTCCCTCCTTTTTGCCATTTTTCAAATGTAATCAATTTGATTCTCGGCGACAAATGAAATGGCCACGGAGAGCTTTAGTGAAGGATACTTGATTTTAAACTTATTAAAGTCACTAGTTTCGTGGTCCGCTTGACCAAATAATATCATACAATTAATTAAGGTTTTTAGTTGTGATAAAAAAGTCAATGGCACGAGCGGGGAGTGGTGTCCGAGTGGATCGAGGTCACGATAGCTCAAGTGGTAGAGCAGCGGCGTATCAAGCCGAAGATCGTGGGTTCGAATCCCGCTCGTGCCATTGACTTTTTTATCTCAACTAAAAACCTTAATTAATTGCCTGTTAAAAACGTTACTTTGTTCGAGAATCTTTTATGGGTGTATGGCTTACTCCCGGCCTGGAAAACGTGCCTGAGAAAGCTCGATAGGCTTAACAGTCAGGGTCTTAGAGCGATCTCGGGGACGTTCAGGACCAGCCTCTTGGCCAGTCTGTCCTGCGAACTGAGCGTCCTCCCGAACTTTGGAGAGAGAGCAATTTACTCTTGGTTCTGCGGCGGATTCGTGGCCAAGCTAGGGAACCCTACGATGATTCTCGAGTGTCCATACAGCGTTGTCTGTCGGTGAAAACTTAGCGAGGGCCGGACTGGCGCTGAGGATATGCTTCGGCTTGGCAACCTACTGATACGTACGAGTCAAGAGCATGATTATCAGAGAACCTGGGCCGGAGAGGAGGGATCGTCCTCAACAGATTGAGGATGGTCCATACGCAATTGACACACGGGCACCTGCTTTGGGCCAAAGCACGCGCCGGTACTTCTTATGCAGGGAATTGTTGTCAATGTATCCCACATAACAGAGGCGTGTCATGCCTTGGTTCCATACAGAGAGCGTGTTGTACCGCCCGATTTCAGAATGGTTCTCGAGTACAGCAATCGTTTTGTGGGTACCTAGATTCCGTGTGTTTTGTCATTATGCGTTTTGTTTGAGTTCGTGTATTTATTAGTGTGAGTGGTGAGGGGTGATGGAAAATATAGTGTCACCAACGACCTTCCAGCAGTGTAGTGTCTAGGGTCTAGGCACATCGGGGAGTGACGACCCTCCGGAGTGAAAGCAAAAGAAGAAAGAATATACACGGTGTTAAAAGTCCTTTGTTTTGAAAACACTTTATAAAAATGACAACAAATTATATTAAAATAATATAACAATTAGGTACAAAACCCATTTGAAACCATACATTTGACTATCCCCAGAATTCAAGAAGAAGATTAGAATTCCCTAAACGAATGGGCACATAAAATCAACGTAGAATTAAATACTATAAGTCCAAAGCCATTGTAATACGATCTTGTCACCTCCTCAAATACCCTCCTTTCGCTACCATCAACCAGCCTATCTCCTTCTGCTCTACTGTTAAAAACCTTCGAACAAAACATGTCTAGGAAATCACACATTTTCCAAATTTCCCGACGCTGTATTGGATCCTTCATTCAATACCGGCGGTCCTGGATCATTCTGCCACCACTCGTAAACTCCTTGCCTCCACCGTCATCTTTCCCCTCTTCGACTACAGCTGTGCCGCAGATGGGGGACTTCCGGTGGAACAAGTCTGAAGGGAGGGAAGGAAGGGGTCTGAAAAGACTGCTGA